AGCAGGAATCAGTTTATAAGTGGTGTCCAGGGTTTCAGTCTTGGGGATCTGGTAATTATAACATTGGACTTAAAACTTAGAAATTGTGAAAACCTTTTGGGATCCCTAAGTTTTAAAATTATTTACAACAATTGTAATTATGAAAAGATTGGCATTATGCTTTTACAAATGGTAGTGGACACAATGATAAATGCTTATTCAATATTTGATGTTTTTAACTTGTGACTCGTTTAACCTACATTTCTAGGTGTTTGCCTCACTAATGAAGGACAACAAAGAAGGAGACAAGAATCATAGCCCAGCACTAAAAAGCTAATCTCCATAATTTAGAAGTCAATTGAAAATGTAGAAAACCACTTGATGAATAAAAAGGAAATTTCACAGCATTTTGATGTGAAAACCACTAGACAAGAGCTTAAACACGAAGAGAGAGACAGTATTTGACGCTGAATGGAGTGGCAGAAACTGATAAAATTGTCACCATTTTGCCAGTATTAGTTTTTTTGTGGGAAGATTATTTTCACAAAGACAACAGAATACTAAAATTTATGAAACTGAGAAAGTGGGGGAACACATTTAATATTTTAAAAGAATCCGCTTAATGCAATAAACATATTTGTAATAACTTTTGTTGGTACTTAAAAGTTTGAGACATAACTTTTTTTACAAATACCACAAAGGCACTTTTTGGGGGCAAGGAATGTGAAGGAAATATTTAATATTAAGGCCCAAAAACTGCTATCTGAACCAAACACTTTCATACAAATATTACCTCCGAAATTAATGAGATAAAAAATATTGTGGACCAAAAGAGTTTGTTTGGTATGTTTGTGTCAGATAACATGAAGCTTTGGTGGGGTACGTCTTATTTAGCTATTTAAGTTCAGCTTCATTCTTCAGTTTAGGCAAATGTAATTAACTCAGGAACTGCAAAAGTATTGTGTGCCCAATCCTGCTATAGCAAAAATCCTACTGGTTTATGTAGGGGCTACTGTTTGCAGCCCATAATCTCTAAATTTACTTCAAGCCTTTGTTTTCTGAAGTATTGGTTGTGCAGTTTACATTGGATAAGACTTTACATGGGCATTCCACACACAGATTTTGCCACAGGAGGAGTGTTAGCTAGTTGAGGTATTCATAATAAAATTAATGGTTCACTTGTATGTGGTGGTAAACACTAGAAAAACTGACAAGTACTAGTCATGATAGTCCTTGTGTGTTTGAAAGAGCACTGACCTTGAAAATTACAGTCCAGGAAAAATGCAGACATGGGATTAGTTTTCTAAATTTTTATAGTGTGCAATACTGAAGAATTCAGAAAGTGCATTGTTTAATGATACTTTGGGGTTATTTGTTTGAGGTTTTTTTGTTTTTCATTTTCTACCCGGGATACAAGATCATACTACACACATCACAAACAGATATTTCAACATTTCCTGTTCTCTGTAATACTGTAAAACACAATTTTTGTTCTGGGGGTTGGAAAATGAAAGAAACATTTTGCTCTTTCTCAGTCCATTTTTTAATGGTATTTAATGTAAATAAAATGCTTACATGTGATTTTTGTAACTGGTCTCTCTGTGAAATTAAGTCAAATTAATCATTGCCTATTTTAAATTTGGGGGGGTTTCAGTTGTCCAGTGTTAACAGAAGTCTGCATAATTCATTTGGGTTAAAGATTTGAATTAGTGTGGTGTAACTTTTATGTTGCTATCTGGTTTAAAACTACATTTAAATATACTACTCAAACATGCAATTTGAAGTTAAAATGTCTGAGACTTTTCTTAACTTCTGTATACACTACTGTAATTGGATCTAATTTGTCTTCTATTTTTGTGTTCTCTTGTACAGTTTTCTTACTTTTCAAGTATAAACTTGTATATATAATTGTACATAGAAGGGATCTTGCCTTCATTTAAGACCACTAGTAACAATTCCTGTGTAAATAAAACTCATAGCAGAAATAGTACTGGTGTCTTTGCTTTTCCCCCTCACACTTCTTTTTGGAACATCCTCAATACTGCTGAATGGTTTTGCCTAAAAATATTCCCTTATAGGGTTTTGGTTGTAACTGTGCTGGTCTAAGGACATAGGCAGGCAAGGTTTTCTGAGTAGATGTGATATCTTTTTATTAGACCAACTGAGTAGTTGGAAAAACAGCAGAGACTCCCTATGCCTGAAGAAGGGTCACTACACCTGAAAGCTTGTTAAGAACTTTTTTCCAGCTACTCAAGTTGGTCTAATAAAAGAGGTCACATCTACCCAAAGAACCTTGCCTGTCCTTATGGTAAATTAGTCTCCTTTTCAGTTTGATCAAATAAGTTCTTTAGGCAATTTTTTTAACTTATGAAAATTGAAGTGTATTTATATCTAGGTCTGAAGTATCACAGTGCTGATTCTTGGCCCTGGGATGGAAAAAATATGGCTCAGAATAGTGAGCTGCTTGACCTGAAGCAGGTGTTGGATGTGTTCCCAGGGGGCATTGCTCTTCTCTTTGTGGGGAAAAGGGAGGGGAGAGTCTTCTTTTCATTCGTAAGTTCTGTTTGAGCTCAAAGCAAGAGTGAAAACTTGAGCCAAATGGGTATGCTGGTGACCCTGTCAGCTTACCCATTGTAAAATGTAGTTAACTTTAGCTGGAAGATGGCAATGATACACATCTCCTGGAGTTATGTACAAAGGATCAGTGTGATGCTCTTTGTGTGTAGTATAGGTATTGATCCAGAAATTGGCCTTGTTAGAAATCGGTAATTGTTTTCATGGAGCACCTCTTGATTTTTGTGAATTAGAAAAAACAAAATTGAATAGAAGGTTTAGTCTTAGACACTTGGCAGTAGTACCTGAAGAGCAGAAAGGGAAGGGTGAGGCGGTAGTTAGGACAGTGCGGAGACCTGGGTGCAATTCCTTGCTTGGCCACAGACTCCCTTGGGTTACTACAGGGCAAGTCACTGAGCTCTCTCTACACCAGCGGTTTCCAAACTCTGACAGATTGTACACCACCACTATAAAACAATACAACCCTAAGTATCACCAGCAATTTTTTGTCTTTTAAAGTAGTTATAATAAATCTGTTAACGTGTGCCAGTGGCAGGTGGTTAGTGTACCAGATTGCACACCGCTGCTCTACTCTTGTGATGGAGAGTAATAGTACTTGCCTGTTGGACGTGGGCTTTACGTTGGGGCGGGCTGTGCTCCGGTCCTGTGGTATTGGGGATAGCCAAACACCTAGGATGAGATGCCAGTGGCTTCTCCCACCAGTTTATTTGCACAGCTGCAGTATATTTTAGCAGATTAATGCTTTGTGGATTAAACTCTGCTATCTGCTTTCAGTGATGAGCCTTTACAAGAAACCTCGAAGCATTTCCTTGGCTTTTTAAAAAAAAAAAAATGTATATACAAGCTGATTCCTATTGTCAAGGTGCAAGGTAATTACAACACATATCCCTACATCAGTTGTGGTATTATTTTAAAAAGGAGATGAACTGGAGTCTGTTTCTGCTACTGGTATTACTAGTTGGTAATTTATCAGTGTCAAAAGCCTACGCCTCTGCCCCAGAGGGAGCGCCCGGAGGGAGAGGACGTGCATTTCTTTCTCTCTCTCCTGCTTTACTGTTGGATTGTACCTGGGCCCGCTCGCACTGAGCCTGCGAGGGGCGAGGACTTCACTCCGACACCTGGCCGGAGACCCCAGGCTTGCCCGGCTCGCTCCAGGTTTCGGGACACGGGCTCCTCCCGGCCGCCGCCAGCC